AAAAAAAAAAAAATTTAACAAATTTTGATAAAAAATGATGAAATATATGATTGAAAAGGATAAAATTTATGAATATCATGAAATGTATGATTAAAATTAATGGCCAACTTTGATTCAATGTTTTAGTAAATTTAAATATCCCAACCACCATAAATATAACATTTCATGCGCCAAGATTGTTGGTAAACAAAAGCAATTTCGATTACAAAGGAAAAAAATATAAAAAGAGACTAAAAAATTAATATTGCTTTGAAAGAAATTTAAGTAAATTTCCCATATGTGTCTTTATAATTAGTCTCCAATATAACTAATATAATTTTGAATCTATTGATATAACTTTACAATATAACACTATATCAAGTACATATACTTGGAGCGAATCAAATCTCACGAGATACATGTTTTCCATGACAATTTTGACGCAACCATCAGCGGGGACTTGAGGGGAGACTCAAGAAGCGGCCGTCTAAAGCCTAAAATCTAATCTAGGGGGACCTAGTACAATCTTTCACACCTATTATTTTTCAGTTTCAATTTTAATGAAAAACGGAATTTCTATTTTACACACATGTCGTCAAAATAGAGTCTCAAAGCATCTCATTTTGTGCAGCATGCAGGAAAGTTTCTATTGATAATTTCTTGCAGTCTAAAATTTGAATTAGGCACCTCCTTTTGCTCTTATTGATCTCTTGATGTCATTGCTAATTGAGAAATCTATCTCGCAAGAGTAATAACAAACGGAATGACAAGTGAGGATTTACTATGGATAATCCCATACCTAAAAGGCAATGAAGAATGAAACATAAGACAAAACACATACATAGAAACACACATTTTCAGTGGTTTATCTCAATATAAACACTACAAGTAACGGAGAACATATGAAAGCTTTGTAATATTATTTTCGAGCCCACTCGTCGGTGCAGATATTCACTAAGCGTTTGCTTTGTGTGGATATTCAAGAAATTTACGATAGAGATCTCACAGCTCTGGGTTTTTTGTCTCTCACACATAGAATGTACAGGAGCAATGTCAATCTATTGTAGAAGACATGAATGACCAATATATTTAGGCATGTTTTTTGCTCCATTTCATGCTATTTTGCCCCTGTTTGATAGCCCTTTTTGTTAAGAATAAGTTTTTGAACAGTAATTTTTTGGTGATTGTGATTTTGTGGTGAAGAAACGAAAAAAGTTTTTAGTTTACGTGAAAAATATTTTGTTGGGAAAATGCGTGGTTGAAAATGAGTATGATAAAAAAAAGAAAAGTTTTGAAAGAATGGATGTCAAACAGAAGCTTAATTTGTATCAAGCCCTATGGAAAATAAATTATCAAATCCTTCCTCACTTGTGTGATATTAGACAAACTCAGCCCTAGATTAAGCATGCATGTCAAAGCCGACTCTGAATTGAACACTGTAGTCAGGTTAGATTAGGATTTATTAAGTTGGAACTAGGCATTTGATGGGTTTTATTCGTTTAGAAAACATAGTATTATAATGCAGGAATTCTTCCCTTTAAACATATTAAATCTAAAATTTGTGAATGAGCTCCATAACTTGGCTTTTAAATTTGTGACATAATCATAAGAGCAAACAAAAATTAACCTCGTAACATTTAAATATTTTCATGGAAGAAATAAGCATGAGAAATAGAAACAGTCTAATTAATCAATCAGTGAAGCTCATATTAACTAATTTGTTCAATTAATCTTGAGTACAAATCAACCATCTTCAATATAGTAGTTTCATGACTCTATACGTTTTATTTTAGTTTTTTATATTGAGCCATGAAATCTCTAGGCAATGAATGGTTTATTACGAGTTGAAAATGCATGGGACTGAAACTTCTTTAATTACTCAAGGGATTCTGCCACCTCCTATTCCACCACCAGCTCCTCCACCAAATCCACCACTAGATCCTCTACCCGATCAGCCTCCAGCACTGCCTTCGCCATCAAAACCTCCTCCTCCTCCTCCTTAAGCACCATTTTCGAACCCACCACCAAATCCTTCTCCAAAACCTGAACCACCTCCTGTTCCTTCACCTCCACCTCCTCCTTCAGAACCACTTCTAAACCCACCACCCAATCCTCCTCCAGAACCAGAACCAGAACCGCCCTCCGATCCTCCACCTCCACTAAACCCTCCACCTCCTCTTTGAGCGTCGTTTCCAAACCCACCACCCAATCCTCCTCCCGAACCAGAATCTCCTTCCGTTCCTCTACCGAACCCTCCACCACCACCTCTGCCAAGCCCTCCACCTCCTAAATCCCAGTGATCAAAGAAGAATTTTTTCTCATCGTCGAAAGAACCCTCTGTGCCAATAAGCTTTCTTGCATTGGTGGTGCAAATAAAAACACCAAGAAGAACCAATAGTACAAAATTGGAAGTAATCTCAATTTACAAGTAAAAGATAGGTATTTGAATCTTGATTTGTGAGAATGAAGGACACCAAAAAAGGTTTATATAATGCTACTGATTCGTACCATGAGCCACGTTTGAATTGTTAATGCAGCTAACTATTTCTTTGAAAAGGAAACACTTCACCAAAACTTTGTTACTCTGATTATCAGTTAAATGTTTTGTGCTTGAATTAATGAGTGAGTTAGTGGGGGCCTCATTAACCTAGCAGTTATTACATTAGTAGTGATTCAATTTATGTTTTTGGTATTAATTAGTGCAATATTATATGTTTACTTACATTAGTGGTAATACACATGTTCTCATATCTTTCCAGGCATTGAAATTCATTTCTACATTGCAATAATTTAGATTTATTTGATTTGCTTTTAAATGTAAGTAAAAGATCCTATTTTGACTAGGAAATTAATTATTATGATAACAATGGTGGTACATCATGTTGGAAAGTACGTTTATAAAATATTTTGTCTATAAATATATATATAAATGAGTGATGGATATGTGGGCACTACTTAATAGTTCTATGGAATGTCTAAATAAAAGTGATTTAAATACTCATGCACATGAGCAAAATATTGACGACGTCTTCAATTTCAAATTTTGGATACCTATATATAGCTTGGTTGGTTTCTGTGTAAATTTCGATGATTTCTAAATTTGTTTTTGTCATTTATAATAGTCGATTGCAGGGTTAAAATGGAAGCCTTGAATCATTTTGAAATGGAGTCTTTATGTTGACATGTAATAGATAGATTTTTAAGATCTTGTTTGATTCTACTAAAAAGATATATTAAAATTTTTGAGTTAACAGTTAATTTTATTCATACATTTCTTGAATCTTGATTTATGTAATGCTACTGATTCATACCATAAATCACATTTCAATTGTTAATGCAGCTAACTGATTCTTTGACACTTTGTGCTTGGATTAATGTTTGAGTTAGTGGGGGTCTCATTAACCTGGAAATTATTAAATTTGTAGTGATTCAATTTATATTTTTAGTTATTAATTAGTTCAATAATGTATATTTATTTATGTAAGTCGTATATACACATGTTCTCATTTCTTTCCAGGCATTGTAATTCATTTCTATTGTACAATAATTCAGATTAAATTGTTATGTAAACATATCTTCCATTTTTCACGTTCTCAAATGGTTTGATTTGATTTTCAAAAATAAATAAATAAATAACCTAGTTCCTGTGTTAATTGTGAAATTAATTATTGTGATATAAAAAGCTGGTGTATTAGTTCAATGAAATGTGTGTATAAATGTGATTTAAATATTTATACACATGAGCTATATATCAGCGAAGTTAATTTTCAATTTCAAATTTTGGATACCTATAGCTTGGTTGATTTCAATATTTTTTTCTTCATCAAGAAGAAAGCCTCAAAGTAAATTTCGATAGTTTCTAATTTGTTTGTGTCATCTTCATAAAAGGGCATGCTAGTTTTCCCAATATTCTTCTTAATAACATTCGATTGCAGGGTTATTAATGAATCCTTGAATCATTTGAAAAAGGATCTTTATGTTGCCATGTAATAGATAAAGTACTAAGATCCTGTTTGATTCAACTAATTAGAAAGTTATATTAAAATTTAAGTTAAAGTGAGTGATTAATTTTAACCATACAATTTATGAGATTCACAAATTTTAACCATTTACACTCTATCAACTTCTATCAAAATTTACTAAAAAATTGATTTTTATCTAAACCAAAAAGGGGTTTATTATATATGTGACATGTATGGCTGTTATAACATTATACCCAACTTATTTCGTACCACGAAAAAATTACTAAATGAAACTTATTTATGAATTTGGATTATTTCCGTGATATGAATTAAGAACTATACCAAGGGTTGTTTGACAAAGCTTGTGATAAGACTTTACCAAATTTTGATAAAAGTTGAAAAAATATGTGGTTGAAAATTTGATAAAAATTGTTAGTCCCATAAATAGTATGATAAAATTAATATTTGACTTTGATTCAACTTTTGAAGATATCTCAAACAAGAGCAAATATAACATTTTATGATAAAGATTGTCTGAAAACAAATGCAATCGCTTATAAAGAAATTAAGTAGATTTCCCTCTTGGGTCTTTAATAAGTCTATAATAGAATTTTGACTCTATTGTTACTACAACATAACACAATATCAAGTACATATACTTGGAATCAAATCAAAGCTCATGAGGTATATCCTTTTTCATTATGATTGTCTCGTCTTATCTAGGACCGATCCAGATGGCCATACACAAAAGCATGAATGTTATGCCCATGTTTGATAGTGATTAAAATCTAGATTTTAGTCTAGTCAAAGTCAATAATTAATATTAGCCACATATTTCATGAAATCCGCAATATTTTAGCTACTATATCATCAACTTTTATCACAATTCATTGAAAATTTGATTTTAATTCTCACCAAACAAGGACCATATTTTGTTTTGATGGTTGAAGATTATGCCTTGTTTGAGCCCTATTCTTTTGATAAAAATGAATTTTTGAATAATGTATTGATGAAAAATGTGTGGTTAAAAAGAGAGGAAAATTTTTGCGTATAATATTATTTTATTAAAAAAATATATGGTTAAAATGATGTCAAAACATTGCTTAAGAATGAAATTTTTTCAAAGAATGAAAATCAAATAGGGGCTATATGGGCTCAAACATGTTTTTGGCTCCATTTGGTGCTATTTTATTTATCTCAAGCCTAAGGAAAATAAAATATTATATCCTTCATCACACACCAAAATTCTTGTGTGTAGCTAGTCAAACTCGACTCCAAATACGACTTTGAATTAAGTATCGGAATCAAACTGGATGACTTTTATATCAATTCGGGACTAAATTTGGACGTGTTTATTCACTTAGAAAATATAATATTAAAGTGCTCAAATAAATTATTCATTTTATACAAATATTAAATTTCAAATTTCTGAAAATGTGCACTTATTAAATTTGTGATGAAATTAAAAGAAAACATATGAAGATTTGCATGGAAGAAATAAAGCATGAGAAAAGGAAATGAAGCTCACATTAATATGTTTGAAGAACTTTTTAAGTACAAATCAAGCATTTGCTGAATAGTAGTTTAATCTGTTCCTCCACCTCCTCCAAACCCTCCACCTCCTCCATGAGAACCACTTCCCATCCCACCACCAAATCCTGCTCCATAACCAGAACCAGAACCACTACCACCTATTCCTCCACCACCACCTCCACCAAACCCTCCACCTCCTCCTTGAGCACCACCCCCAATCCCACCACCCATTCCTCCTCCAGAACCAAAACCACCTTCCGTTCCTCCACCTCCACCACCACCTCCACCAAGCCCTCCTAGATCCCCGTGACCAAGGGAGAAATTTTTATCTCCATCTAAAGAACCCTCTGAGCCAACAAGCATTCTTGCAGTGGTGGTGCAAATAAGAACACCAAGGAAAACCAAGAGAACAAATTTGGAAGTCATCTCAATTTGTAAGTAAAAGATAGGTATTCAATCTTGATTGATGTCAACTTAGGACACGTGAAAGGATTATATAATGCTAGAATATCAATTACTTGCAATAAAGATTAATGCTTGAATTAATGTGTATTAATGAAAGTCTCATAACTTGATGGTTATTGTATCAGTAACTATAAATTTAAATTTTTATGTTTAGTTATTAATCGGTGCATTAGTAGATTAATTTCTGAATTAATGGATGTTTTAATTTCTTTTCCTTTTATCATGTTTTATTTTTCTTAAATTACCTAACATTTATTTTTTCAGTTTCATTCTGAGTTCATCATAATCTCTCTCCCCCCTCCCCTGGGAGGGAGGAGAGAGAGAGAGAGAGATGAGGCAAGTGTTATTTAGCAACTTAAAGTAATCCCGAGTCAAGTATCAATAAGATTTAAAGGTATAAGCAAGAAATGAAATTTTATGTTATGGCCAAGTGAGCAGATCAACAGAAAAGTTTTGCTTATTTTTGCACTTGCAATAGAGTTTGGCGTAAATTCTCTCTGAATTTCGAATAAGAACTAATGTGTCCTATCATGGAAAATTATACTTTCGTGTATGGATTGACAAATAACTATATATGTACTGTTGAGTTTATAACTTAAAAATTGAATGTAGGACAGCTATAAGGGTTTATATAATGCTGCAGATTCGTACCATGAGATACATTTGAATTGTTAATGCAGCTAACTGTTTCTTTGAAAAGGAAACACTTCACCAAAACTTGGTTACTCTGATTATCAGTTAAATGTTTTGTGCTTGAATTAATGAGGGAGTTAGTGGGGGTCTCATTAACCTGGCAGTTATTGCAATTGTAGTGATTCAGTTTATGTTTTTGGTATTAATTAGTGCAATATTATATGTTTACTTACGTCAGTGGTACATACACATGTTCTCATATCTTTCCAGGCATTGCAATTCATTTCTATAGCGCAATAATTTAGATTTATTTGATTCTATTTTAAATGTGAGTAAAAGATCCTGTTTTAACTAGGAAATTAATTATTATGATAAGAGTGTTGGTGCATCATGCTGGAAAGTATGTTTATAAACGACTTTATATATATATAATGAGTGATGGATACGTTGATACTTCTTAAGGGTTCAATGGCATGTGTGAATAAAGGTGATTTAAATATTTATATGCATGAGCAAAATATTGGTGACATCTTCAATTTCAAATTTTGAATACCTATATATAGCTTGGTTGATTTCTATATTTTTCCTTCCAAAACAAGAAAGCCGGAAAGTAAATTTTGACAATTTCTAAATTTGTTTGTGTCATCTGCATAAAAGGCCATGATAATCTTCCCTATATTGTTCTAATTTCATAATATTCGATTGCATGGTTAAAATGGAAGCCTTGAATCATTTTGAAATGGAGTGTTTATTGCAATAAATAGAATATTAAGATCTTATTTGATTCAACTGAAATGATATATTAAAATTTAAGTTAAAGTTAACAATTAATTTTAACCATATATTTCAAAGGATCTATAACTTTTCTATTACACATTCCATAAACTTCTATTAAAATTTAGTAAAAAACTGATTTTTACCAAAAACAAAGAGTGATTAAATATATAAATGCCATGTGTTGCTGTTATAACATTATAACTACAGTTAATATTATAGCATTATACCTCAACTATTTCCTATTATGAAAAAGTTACTAAACGATTCTTATTTATGAATTTGGAGTATTTCTATGCCATGAATTAAGAATTACATTAAGGGGTCTGTTTGACAAAGCTTTTGAAAATACTTTTAATGGTTAAAAAGGATAAATATTATGAGTCTCATGAAATGTGTGATTTAAATTAATGGCTGACTTTGATTCAACTTTTTTGTATCTATAAATATCCCAACAATCGTAAATATAGCATTTTATGCTTCAAGGTTGTTGGTAAACAAAAACAATATTGATTACAAAGAAAAATAAAATATAAAAAGAGATTAAAAAATTAATATCACTTAGAAAATAATTTAAAAAGATTTCCCTTCGGTGTATTTAATGAGTCTCCAATATAACTAATATAATTTCAAATCTATAAATATAGCTTTACGACTTAACACAATATTTGTTAGACATATTATTGTCAAACGACCTCCCGGATGATGATGTAAATCGGTTATTAATTATCAGTCGACATTTGTAATATGATTGAACGATATATCAATAGCAAAATTGGAATGACCCGACCCAAGAAGTGATTGGACCATTTGACACAACCAATTTTATTGTGCTCCTCATGGACCATATTTTCTACCTACTTGGATGGCTAGTTATACTTGAGGCCCACTCTATATTCTACTATATTTTATTGGGCCATGACCAATTACCTAGACCTAACTTACCTTATTTGTGACTTGGCCCAATATTTATTCACTTGGTCTTGCACACCACTTTAGTGAGAAACTAGACTTGGTTTCTCTCTTCTTCATCTCTACGTGCTCTCTCTCGGCCCTCTTCTTTATTGTCTTTTGCCGCCTCTCTTTATGGTAATATCTTGGTGATATTTCTCGTCCTTAGTGATGGTCTCTAAGTAGCAAAGATCTAGCAACCATAGGTAGAACCTTTGTGGTGCTTTTGGGTCATTTTTTTTTAGTATTGATTCGGGTTCTTAGTTACTGAGCTTGTATATCGCCTTGGTGATTGATGATTACACATCTATACAATTGGTATCAGAGCGTAGGGTGTTAATTTTTGTTAAAATCGGTCCAAAATTGAGAGAGAGGCGCCATTTTTCAAACTGACCGAACCTAAAACCCTCAATTACTCCCAAACCAGATCTCAGTTGGACAAACGAAGGTCGAACCCATTATCAACCGGCCGGGGAGCCCCCTGTGAGGCGTCGTCGGCACGTGGAGGGGCTTTTCCATAGTTTTTTTCATGTCATTTCATTTATTTTAATCTCCTAAACGTTCTAATATATTTAGTTTAGTGTTTCAGGTTGCGCAGAAAATTTTGGACTATTTTGTCCCTGATCTCAATCTGCATTTGTTGCTAATTGGAACTGTTATATATGCTGAACCTTTAGGGTGAATAGTGGTGTCCCTAAAGCAGCAAGTTTGTATCTCTCCACGTTAGGGACTCAGATAGATCCGCTCTAATAAATTGTTGAGAATTTTCACACTAGCAGATCATTGTATGGGGTGATCATTATGATTAGGGGTTGTCATTGCTTGGCAACCATTGTTTGTGCTAGAAATTTAGGGTTACTTGCTCTTAACTGTTTAATTATCTGTCTTTTGATTAAATCAGTATTTAATTCTTAGTGGTATACTTGCTGTGAAACTGGTTATTTGTTAGACATAACTTTTGTTGCATTGTTATTTTCGCTGCTTATTAATTCCGTTAGAATTACGGTGACCTTACCCGTTCGAACATTCCCTTGATCTAAGACCACGAGTCTTACGAAACCTTGAAAATCTAGAACGGTGTACATTGTCTATGACCCTAGGACTACTTTGTGTGGTTTGATTGTGTTTTGTGCATTATTTGACTGTTGTGTGAAGATGACAACTTACAACTTTGATTTGGGAATTTTTAACGAAAAAGGTGATTTTTCTATTTGGCAACAAAAAATGAAAGGTATTTTGGTCTAACAAAAGGTTTCAAAAGCCATCAAAGGCAATTTTCAACTGCTTTTTCAAAATAACAAAGAGAAGAAGCTAATGAGCTTGCTTATACCTCAATCATTTTTACACTTATTTGACGTTGTTTTAAGAAAGGTGGGTAAACTGAAAACCACTAAAGAATTTTGAAAAAAATTGAAAGACTTGTATTTGCTTAAATCTACACCAATAAACTTTACCTACTTGAACGTTTTTTCATTTTTAAAATGGATCCTTCAAAAGATCTCAATGAAAATTTAGACGTGTTTAACAAATTGGTGCAAGATATAGTTAATTGTGATGAGGTTGTGTCAAAACTTATAAGGCTATAATTTTGCTCAATACGATTCCTAATTCTTATAAGAAAGTTAAAAATGCCATTAAGTGTGGTAGGGATACGTTGACACCTGAAATTGTCATAGATTTCCTTAGGAGTAAAGAGATGAAAATTAGGGCTGAAAAATATGATAAGATGAGCGGTGAGTTACATATGATGCGGGGTAGAACTCAATTTAGGCAAAATAGTCATGATTGATACAAAAGTGGTGGCGAGTCGAGTGGTAATAGATGGAAAAACAAGGGCAAGGATAGGTCTAGATTAAAATCTAGGATTAAGGCGAGAAAATGCTATGACTGTGGAAACACAAAGCATTTTATAAAGGATTGCCATAAGGAGAAGGATAAGTTAAAGATTAAGGAGAGAGATAAGGTAAATATATTATCCTCTACGTCTGAGATAGATAACGGTGAGGTCTATATGATTTCAAGTCACGTTGTATACACTGTTGAATTGAATCTAACTGCTAATTCTTGTATGCATGAATGGATACTTGATTCTGATGCATCTTTTCGTGTGACATCTGAAAAGAATTGGTTTGATAACTTGCATGAATCTAATGCTGGGCATGTTGTGTTGTGTGATATCTTTGCCTATGCTATTGCTGGAATTGGTGACATAAATATAAAATTTGACATGGGTTTTGCATACATGTTAAAGAATGTTAGATATATTCCTGAATTGCCTAGGAATTTGATTTCGGTAGAGAAACTTGAAAATGATGACTACACTGGTAAATTGGAAATGGTATGCTAAAGATGATTAAGGATACATTAGTTTCCATTAAGGAAACTAAGAAAAATGACATTTATATCACTATTGGGGAAGTAATTAGAGGTTTGAATTCCTCTATCTCTTCTGCCAAAATTGATCACACACACACACATGGCATAATAGACTTGCACACGTAGACAATCAGGGACTTAAGCTACTTAATGAAAAAAGTGCATTTGGTAATGATTGTGATTTGTCATTTTGTAATCACCGTGTACTTGGTAAGCATCATAAAACTTCATTCTCCATGAGTGTTCATAAGCTAAAGGCATGCTTGAATATGTGCATTTTGATTTATGGGGTCCTGCTAATAATCCCACATCGGGTGGGAATAGGTATTTTTTGTCTATTATCAACGACTATACTAGGAAAGTGTGGGTATATCTATTGAAAGATAAATCTAAGATTTTTCATAATTTTAATAACTGGAAGAGACAAATGGAAAACAAAACTGACAAGAAGATCAAATTTTTAAGGATAGACAATGGCCTAGAATTTTACTACACGGAATTTGATAGTATATGTAAAGAAAATGGCATAACTAGAGATAAGAGTGTTCCTTACACTCCCCAACAAAATGGGGCAGCCAAAATGATGAATAGGACCATACTTGGTAAAATGCATTGCAAGATGTTAAGTTCTGGTGTCCCTAAATCGTTTTGGGGTGAGGCTGTTATGACTGCTTGATATTTGATATTTGATTAATTTGACTCCATCTATTGCATTAAATGGTGACACTCCGCATGAGAGATGGTCGGGTAAACTGAGTGATTATTCTATGCTTAGAACTTTTAGCTGTGCTGACTTTTCTTATCAGAGTAAAGGAAAGTTGGAACCTAGAGCTAGAAAGTATGTATTTCTAGGATATTCCGACGGTGTTAAGGGTTATAGGTTATGGGATAGAAGTCAAAAGGGGGTTAAGATCATCATGAGTAGGGATGTCACATTTAACGAAAATGAGATGCTGTGTATTAAAGGGAAAATCGAACCTGTGAGTGAAACTAAACCAGATGAAGAGAGAGATCGATTTAAGGTGGAGTTAGAAAAAATTAGTACACCTGTATCCAGGTTCAGGAACCTGAGGTGGAGAACGGTAATGAAGTAGTGATAGAAGAATACCCTAAGGAAGAAAATCTCTTAGCTAATTACAACCTAGTTAGGGATAGAGAGAGGAGACAAACGAGTTTGAGTTAGCTTTCGCCCATGCTAAATATGAAGAACTAGTCGATAGAGAGCCAAAAATCTTTGAAGAGGCGATAGGTAGTGATCAATATAAGGAGTGGCTTAAGGAGATGAAAGAAGAGATAAGTTCTTTAGAAGAGAATCAAACTTGAGAGCTAGTACTTAGGCCTAAGAACAAATCGATCGTCGATTGAAAATGTGTTTTTAAGGTTAAGGAATGTACTAGTAGCTCAGAACCTTTAAGGTTTAAGGCTAGGTTAGTGGCTAAGGGTTACACACAGAAGGAAGGCGTTGATTATAATGAGATTTTCTCGCCAGTTGTTAAGTACACTACTATTAGGGTCATGCTTGCTTTGGTTGCGCATTTTGACTGGGAACTTGAACAACTTGATGTAAAAATTG